TCATACAACTGTATCACAACCCGTACTTCCATCCATTGTGTCAAGCACATTTTTACATATGTTGCCATCATCATTCTCAAAACATGTGCCTTCTGCTTGAGCCCCTGGTATCAGCTCCTCGTTTTCGCCTCCCTCCCTGCTCCCACCTCCCTCATGAACCCTTGATAATTTAAAAATTATTATTATTTTGTCATATCTCACACTGTCTGACATCTCCCCTGACCCACTTTTCTGTTATCTCTTCTTGTGTCTCTCTCTTATCTCTTATAACTTAAAAAAGTGATTCTAGCAAGGGTGTGACCTGGGGAAGTGTGTGACTTGCATATCACCCTCTAGTAAGGCTGTCTCAAAATACACCCTATAAGGACCTAACTTATTAACATATCAAAGTCATCTCGTTGCCATCCAGTCAATTCTGAAACATAACATGGAGAATGCTACTAAACAATATTTGGAATCATATCCTATCCAAGTTGATACACATTTGGGGGCAACACAGTTGAATCCATGACATTACACAGGATTACTTTTGTACCTTGTGAGCTGTCAGCATGCATTAGACTTCTCTGATATTAATATGTAGTTTTCTTCTTATAGTTCATTAAAAAAAATCATTCTATTCAACCTCCACAGTTTAAATCAAGTGTTTTAACTACACAGAAGACATCTCTGAACCCTATTTCCCACATCGCTTGCATATCCACAGATCTCAGCCTTTCTTAAATTACTCCCTGATTATTTTCTCTCTCTTCAACTATTCATGCCCTATAATTAAACTAGCTTATCAAAATCTTTGTACATTATGCATTTAATCTTCTCAAATGTGATTTGTTTAGATTTTCTCTTCTTGGCACCCAAATGTAAGTAGTTTGTTGTTGTCATATGTCATCAAGTCAATTCCAAGTTATAGAGTCCTATAAGACAAATTTGAACTTCCTTTTATAATTTCCTAGTCATAAATTTTTATGGGAAAAGATTCCCTCATCATTTCTCCCATCAATTTACTGGTGACCTCAAATCAACAAAATGTGGGCTGGGCATGCACTTAAACATTGTACCACCAGGGTTTTAACCACATATTACTTAAATACCTACATTTATTTTTCTCGTATCTTTGCCTATTTGCAAAGCAGAAACAACTTTTACTGAAATTACTATGCACATTTATGAAAGTTCATTTCAGCTGGCAATGAGATTAGCAGGATGGCTGTGTAACAGGGTCACTTTGCAATATACTCAAAGTATTCATGGTACTATAATATTTTCCTTCAATACTTAAATGCAAGAGAGAGTTGTTCAAATATGCCATTATCTCATGTGGAATTAGAAGTTATGATGCTTTTACATTGGCTAATGATTGAGGCAAGAAAGTAATACCAGAAAAAATGGATAGTACATGTATAATTTTATATGATTACATGAGAGCTTTATTAACAAGCCTAAATACAGACATGTACATATGTAAATATATTTAAGATTAATGGGGGAACGGACCTAGGTGCAATAATTATTGGTTTGGTAGTAGGGTGGCAGGTGGA